TAAAGGTTGACAAATTTAATTAACTCTGTAATTGACTGCCAAAATTATAGCCCTTTATATAAAATGATATAAAAATTAAATCTGACTTTTCTGTAAAAATTCTTACCCCTTAATTCTTTGAACATATAAACCATTCTTACTATAGTGTGTTCAGCTCAGGCAGATATACCCTATGCTGTTGGGTGCCATAAACAAGAAGCAACCATTCCAGAGTTCTGGAGACAAGGACATCTACTTCTTGGGCCATCGGTTGGCTGTCTTCTGGGTGTTCAGTTTGTTCTGGACACCAAACTTCCATATTGCCTTCACTAACTGGATTTAGTCCCCACAAAACTTTTATACTACAGACCTGCTTTTGTTCTCTTTTACAGTGAGTAAATGGAAACAAGGAAAGGTTAGTAATATGCTAGCGCGACACTGAACCAGTGTGTTCTTGCACACCCACATTGGTTTTATGTATCTGTCATCCATTTTCTTTGGGCCTCTCCCTTTTTTGACAAGTTGAAAAACCTAAGAAAGCAAATTAACAATGAATGCGATTCAAATATATTATTGGTGAATCGTTCCTGTCCTCTATGGAATTCTCATTTTGTTCATGCCATTAATCTCAGGCAACATTGACCATTCATTTATTATCAGGGGGCTGGAGAGATGGCTCAGTGGTTAAGAGCACTTGTTCTTTCAGAGACCCAGGTTTGGTTCCCAGCATCCACATGGAAGCTAACAACTGCCTGTCACTCCAGTTACAGGGGGGATCTAATGCCTTATTTTGTAACATGTGATAACACTACAAATAGAGGTAAACACTCATACTCACAACATAAAATAATTTTAAATAATAAAATAAAAACATTTACCTATCAGATTGCCATCCCTGCATTTGGATCCAACTTATTACAGCACTCTACAGTATACTGTACCAAGCTGAGGACTAGGTATGGTGGTACTCACCTATAATCCCAGCACTTAGGAGCCCGAGGCAGGAGGACTGTCAGTTTAGGCCAGTCTGGGCTACGTAACAAGTCCATGTCTCCAAAAGAAGAAAAGATAAAAAAAAAAAAAAAAAAAAAAAAAAAAAAAAAAAGAACCAAACTGAAATTTTATAAAAAAGTATAATAGAATTTTTGAGGTGAATATGCCTTTAGTTTTTAAGTAATTTATTATTTTTCATTTTATGTGTAGGAGTGTATTGCCTGCATGTGTGTGAGTACACTGTGTCGTGCAATGTATGAGGAAGACAGAAGAGGTTTTTGAATTCCCCTGGAACTGGAATTATGGACAGTTGCTAGCTGCCATGTGGGTGCTGGGAATTGAACCCATGTTTTCTGCAAGAACAGCCTGCTCTTAAACACTGAGCCATCTCTCTAGCCCTATGAATATATCTTTAATAAATAACTGATGTTAGCTGTTTTATCTATAAGCAAAATGTTTTTCTTTTTTTTTATCTTGTAATCCTTTATTAAAACTTTAAATCAGGGGAGTTTAACCTTTTGATTTCTCTGTGCTTACATAGGATGAAGAAGAATTGGCTTGGGCTACACATAAATGTTATTTCAAATAATCCTTTTTATTTTAGGAAATTGTAATAATTTTATAATAT